AAAAGATGATCAAGAAGAATATATTTGGGGAGGAGGGATAAGAAAGACAGTGAAAATTATCTCACATTATCAGGGCATGAAAAAAGAAGTCTAAACCAACAAGGAGTTGGTAGGTACAGCTGACATTTGAACATCACTCTCAACTTAATGAGTCAAAGGAGGGGAGAATACAATGAGTTCACTAGTAAACAAATATTTATTAAGCACCTATAATGTGCTAAGGCAGCAAGGTGGTGAAATGGATAGAGAGCCAGGCCTGGAGTCAGGAAGGCTCATCTTCCTGAGTTCAACTGTGGCCTCAGACACTTACTAGCTGTGTGACCCTGGGCAAGTCACTCAACCATGTTGACCTTAGTACCTCACCTGTAAAATAACTAGAGAAGGAAATGGCAAACAACTCCAGTATCTTTGCCAATAAGACCCCAAAATGGGGTCACAAAGAGTCAGACACAACTACTACAATGTTCTAAGCACTGTGTTAAGAGCTAAGGATACAAAGAAAGGTAAAAGACAGTTACTGTATTCAAGGAGTCTAACAAGAAACACTACATGCAAACAACTAGGTACAAACAAGCTATATACAGGACAAACTGGAAACAAACAATATAGGAAAAGCACGAGGAAAGGCTTCCTATAGAAGGTGGGATTTTAGATGGGACATAAAGGAAATTGGGAAAACCAGGAAGCAGAGATGAGGAAAGAGAGAATTTCCGGCATAAGAGACAGCCAATAAAAATGCCCAGATGTAGTAGATGGAGTGTCTTGCTCAAGGACCAGCAAGAAAACTAGTGACACTGGATTGAGGAGTATGTGGAGAGCAGTAAGGTTTAAGAAGACTGGGGGCAGGTGGGTGGTACAGTTGGTAAAGCACTAGCCCTGGAGACAGAGGACCTGAATTTAAATCCAGCCTCAGACACCTGACACTTACTACCTGTGTGACCCTGGGCAAGTCACTTAACCCCAATTGCCTCCACAAAAACAAACAAACAAAAAGATTGGAAATAGAGGAGAGGGTCAAGTTATGAAGGGCTTTGAATACCAAAGAGAGGTTTTTAAATTTGATCTTGCAGGCAATAGGAAGCCACTGAATTTAGTGAGTAGGAAGATAACTTTGACATCTGAGTGGAAGATGGATTGTAGAGGGAAAGACTTACGAAAAACAGACAACTAGCAGTCTACTGTAATAGTCCACTCAAGTAGTGATGAAGCTCTGCACCAAGGTGGTGACAATGTTAGAAGACAGAAGGGTGTGTATTTGAGAGACATTACAAAGGAGAATGAGGAGAGAGTAGTCACACAAAAAAAAAGAGAGAAAAGCCTATCAAGAAGAGGATGAGTAAAGGTGTCAGAGGCTGCAGAGAAATTAAAAAAAAAAACAAAAACATGAGGACTGAGAAATGGTCATTAGATTTGGCAATTAAGAAAACATTAGTAACTCTGGAGAGAGCAGTCTTGGTTGAAAGGAAAGGAAGAGAAGGCTTCTATTATAGATGGCATTGTCAAGGAGTGTAGCCACAAAAGGAAAGAGAGATATAGGATGATAGTTGGGGTGGAAAGATCAAGTCAAGAATTTTTGAGGATGGGGGAGACATGGGCATGTTTAAAGGCAGTGAGGAAGTAGCCAGTGGACAGAGAGACTGAAGATATACACAGGTATAGGGGAACATTTCACTCAACAGGGAAACAGGAAAGAAAGGAGAGAAGTAAAAAGGGGCTGGTAGATTAAGGGAGGGATGAGTCCTAAGCAAAACAAACTCAAAAGATGCATAAAAATATGATAGCTATTTTTATAATGTCAAGGAACTGGAAACTGAGGGAATGCCTTTCAACTAGGGAATAACTGAACAAATTATAGCATCTGAATGTGAAGAGAATACTACTGTGTTGTAAGAAATGATAAAGGGAATGGTTTCAGAGAAAACTGAAGACTTGTATGAAAGGATGCCAAGTGAGTAAAAACTAGGAAAATAATTTATACAATTAAAACAATATTGTAAAGACAAAGAACTTTGAAAGATTTAGGAACTCTGATCAGCGGAATGAAAAATTATGATTCTGACTGACAATGAAAGACTCAGAGTGCAAAATTTATACACACACACATTTATGGCTTTCCTTGCCATTCTTTTAGACATGATCAATGTGGATATTTGTTTTGCTCTACTGTAACAGTGTTTTTTTCCTTTTTTCCAATGGGGGGGGATGGAATAAAGACAAGGCAGATTTTTGCCAATTGAAAAAAAAATCAACATTTCATTTAAAAAATTGTGACAGTGCTTCCCAGTTCTCCTATTAAAAAAAATTTATTATATACAAGTATGAGGTTTTCTGAGTAGTTTATGACCCTGAACCTTCTTTTATTACTTAAATCTCAATACAGTTCCTAAAATACTTCTCAAGATCCTCTCCTGGATACACTTTTGCAGAGAAGGCCACCAAGTATCAAAGAATTTGTTGCCCTGATTTGCAAGATCTTGTTAAGTTCTTCAAAGAATTTCTCTGCCTCTGCATCTTATGTAGCAAACATTGGTGCATAAACTGCAGTTTTGTTCCTATTCGGTATTTTTTGTTTATGTGCATCATGAGTACTACAAAATCAGACGATCAAGTGTACCATTTAATATTGTTCTGGCCTTTGGATACATTTATCAATTCAACCCCAAAATTCTTTTGTCTCTTCAAGAAGAAACTGATCCATCTTTTCACTTACTGTAAATCTTTATGTTTTCTGGTTATGTTTAGTGAAAGGATGCCAGTATTGCTAACTGAACAACTGTGATAGATGAATATATTGGGGTATCACTGCACTATAAGAAATTAAGAATATGATGAATCCAGAGAAACTTGGGAAAGCTTTGCGTCAACTGATGCTGAATGAAATAAGTAGAACCAGGAGAACAATTTATACAGTGACTACAATAACATAAAGGATAACAGCTTTGAAACACTTCAAGAATTCTCATCAAAGCAGTGACAAATGATGATCTTGATGTATTTCCCAGCTCTTCGCATAGAGGTGATGGATGAGAGATTACAAGCGCTAAATAAGAGATATATTCAGATATGACCAATGTGCTGATTTGTTTTGATTGTGCTATGCTTCGTTACAAGGAAGGACTTCTCCTAAGAGGAGAGGGGAGGGGAGGGGGGAGCAGCTAGGTGGCACAGTGGATAGAGCACTAGCCCTGAAGTCAGGAAGACCTGAGTTCAAATCCGATCTCAGACCAAACACTTGACACTTACTAGCTGTGTGACCCTGGGCAAGTCACTTAACCCCAATCGCCAAAAAAAAAAAAAAAAAAAAAGAGGGGAGGGAAACAACTACTTATTAGTGATAGATATATAAAAAGCTTTTTTTTTTTAAAAGAACATGAATACAACATTAAAAAACAGAAGAAAACAAAATTCAGAAGGGGACACAAATAGGAGAATTTCATCATTACTTTCTTAAATTTACTAGATACTTTAAAAAACTATACATAACAAAAGTTTACTTTCACATACAATCTTCGGTTTTGTTTTTTAGTACACTGAAATGCTTGTTTTTTGATGATCAACTTTAAAATAAAAAGTGTCAATATTGACATGGTTCAGTTCTTCTAAAGAACTTAAAGAGGTTCATCTAAAGAGAATCTCTAAGGGGGTCCAAGGATCCCTTAACCTGGGGTCCACCAACCACCTATGGATGGATTCCAGGGGAGTCTGTGCAATGTTATGGGAAAAAAACTTACATAATTATTTCAATAAATAATTGGATTAGTTTATAATCCTTTTGTCTTTTATTTTATGAACTTAAAAAACTTATTCTTCAAAAGGAATTTAGAGTCTTAACCAGACTGCCAGATGATCCATGACACAAAAAAGATTAGAAATTCTTATTCTAAAAGCATGGTGATTCTATTGGTCACAGGAAAAACATCTCATATTTAGAGTACCACTTAACTAATGCTTATAGAATAGAGAATGGACCTGTGATTTCACTGGAACAGGGTGAGGAAATTCCCTCTACTGAAGGGAAATGCCCTATTCATATCCCCTTCTGATTTCCAAACTGAAAAAATTAAATCTACCAATGTAGGTCAGCACCTTCTCTGAAAACTGAGTCTCAGAGGGTTGTCTAAAGGAGGAAGAGGATAAGTAATTTGCACAAGGTTACAAAGCAGGTGTCAGAAGCCAGACTCAAACCCAGTCTTTACTGGCTTCAAGACTGTCTTTCTGTCCACTGTACCACACTGTTCATCCTTCTATATGTTTATGGATGGTCTAACATACTGATTCTTAGTAGCCCTCTCAAGCCATTCTACCACCATCACTGGGGAAGGGCGATATGCAGGACTGAGGCCCACTTTTAATTTTTCTCTGCTTTATGAGCAGCCATAACCAAAGAACTGATCATTACCTAATGAAAAATCTATGTGACGAGTCACTATGTCCTTACTAGATAGTTCCTCCAACAGATTCTATCACTAAGACCATATATAAGTCTTATGCTTCACTGGCATAACCTTTAAGAACTTACCCTATACTTGTTTCAGCAGCACATATATGGCCCCACACAAAGATGACATGAAAATTCAAGAAGCATTCCATTTTTTTTTGCTTGCTTTTTTCCTTTGGAACATGGGCTAATGTAGAAATTGTTTTTTATGACTATTCATATATGTAAAGAATACAATTCCTTGTCTTCTTAATGGGTGGGAGAGGAGGAAAGGAGAGGAAGAGAATTTGGAACTGAAAATAAAATAAAATTCAAAAAACAAAACAAAACAAAAAAAAAGTACACTACACCAAGAATTTATGTCTCCATGCCATAAGGAGGGAGTGAGATTAGATTCTGTCCCTTTTATCAGGAGATGTAGGAAATTTCACACAGAATGATGACATAGTTTAAAAAAAAAAAAAAAAGGACACATTTACTTGTCTGTTGTGAGATGAAATTCACCACTGAATCAAAAAGTCATGTATAAATGAGTCAAATACATCAACCATCCAGTTCTTACCATCATGGTTTTTGAGTTTCCTCCTAAGGAATCCTGAAGAAGACGAGTCAATTTTGAATTTCGATAGGGTACATGAGTGCTTTTTCCATCAACCAACGCAGAAATGACATTACCCAGAGTGGAGAGTGAAAGGTTAATTTTTGTTGCTTCTTTCAATCGCTGTCCAGTAGCTCCAGTTTTTGCCTGTCTTTCTGAACCCTAATAATGAACAGAGAGGAGTTAAGATGCAAAAACAAAGCACATTCAGGAGAAAACAAAAAATTTTGAAATTGTCCAAAACAAATTTTTAAATTTTTAAAATTTTTCAATAAATTTTAAAATAAAATTTTTCAATGAAAATTAAGTGAACAAAAACTCAAAAAAATTTAAGAACATCACTGACTTCTCATTTGTATAAATAGTTTTGAAAATAAAAGTGGAAATTATCCATTAAATTACTAGAGAAAAATATCTTCCTCAATTAGCATCTTAATACTTACAGCAAGATCTACAAGGTGTAGTTTGCCCATCCGAACATGCATATTTCCATCAATACCTTTTTCACTACATTCAATGGTAATTGTAAATATAGCATGGGAACGGGAACTGTGTTCATTCATATTAGTTGCACCAACAGAACCTTTAATATGAGAAGAAAATCACTTTGAAAAGGTAATGTTCAAGCATCTCTGAAAGGACAAATTAAACGACTAAATACTAACTTAAAATATGTAATTTTATTAGACACAAGGCAAAAAAAGACACATCCACTCCTGAATTACACAGGTAACAATGGATTTATTCAACATTATTAGAAATTTTTCTGTCAAAAGTTTTGATATTGATTATGAAGGAATACGTTTTACTGTTCATATTCAAACTAAAATTTTAAAATTATTAGGCAAAGTGTGAAAGTTAAAAAAGAAGGTATGTTATACATAAAGTTCAACATCCCAACTAATTTAGCTGTGCTTTTAAAAGGCACTAAGATTATGTTTATTTTATCCCAAAATAATGATCTCATTCTAAGATCTTATTTCATAAATTCATGCAGAAGTAACCAACAAGAAGATATAATAAAACTTAAGAACAACAAAAGGTAAGCCTTCACCAAAGGCCCACTGGGATGCCTTATTATGAAATGGAAGTGACACTTCGTATCCCAAACACCTAGCACCAGAAAAACACAAACTTCTGGCAGTTCCTGTATTAAATTGGAGAGGATTACATATACAGACCCAGCAACCAACTGTATGTCTCTCTAAGAAGCAACCTAACTAAGTCAGGCTCAGTCACAGCAACTCATTAAACCATCTACTAAAGCACAGAGGCACTGGAATCTGGTAAAGAGAATATTCAAACAGATGAAGTCACAGATGCCTGAAGTACTGAGAAAGGCAAGTATCTGATTTATGTCATAAAGTGAGAATCTAATAAAGTGCTATTTCCTGATCCACAGTCATTTCATAGACTAAAGTACACAGAACAGAATGTAAACATACAGTTTTTGTAGTAGTGGATTTTCTTTTTGGATTTTCTTTAAAGCAAAACACCATAGATGGTGACATTCTTAGTTGCTTTTTTTAAAAAATTAAATATCCACATTTTATTTATAAAATAGCTTTAACTTTAAACTGAAACTATTATTTAAGCAAGAAATGGAAAATTTAAAGAGCACTGATGTTGATTTCATATACAAATTTTGTAAATTATTTTCTGTTAACATTCCCTTTCTTTTTTGAGATGAAATTATGTGGAAGTTTCTAAAGGACTTTACCATTTGTATGGCATAAAATAGACTAGGACTGAAAAGAAATTTGTCCCACCTTAAAGTATTTTGTTCACTGCTTAGACACACCTAAACAACTACAGAAAGAACTGTTGAGCTATCTCAAAATCATGTCTCTTTCACATGGCATCAAGCTGTGATATAACTTACATTACTACCTTCACACTAATCTACTCAACATTAAAGATTTATTGCCAATTAATGACTGTACTTACGATTTTTGTGGCCTAACGTCATAATTCTATCCATATCATCTGCATTATTTACCACATAAGCTGACAAATCTTTGATGTAAACTCCCACATCAGGTCTTTCCTTAACCTAAAAAAAATAAGATTACACTCTGGTAATATACAATGCTTTCTAAATCAATATTCCTTGTATTTGCTTATAGATTACTACAGCAGTGGTATAATGTCAGTATAAGTAATTTATAATAACCCTTAAAATGGGAGGAAGATATTTTATTCATCTAACTACCCATCCCTTCATTAGACTATTCTCTATTTTAAAAGAAATGGTGAGCTGAATCGAAGGACAACAAGAGGCATATTGGCCTGCTTGGGAAAACTTGAATAGTACATAGGTTGCTATTACTCCAACTCAATTGAGAGAGGATTTTTTTTATCATCATCATAGTCATGACATGAAAGAAAAGCACTTCCTCACATTATTCCTCACACTGAGGAGTGACTCTTCATCCAGTCAACATTCATAGCTTGACCCAGCAGAATATAGGCAAGTGAGAAAGTGATTGATTCTACACAACCTTATGTTATTACTTAAAACAAATCGGGCAGTGCATCCATTAGAGAAAAACAATTATTAGTTATGCAAAGTATAGCATTCATAAGGCATGCGGCATGAAACTTGATTTTAATGGGAGCAAATTTGATCGGTCACTATCAGGCTAACTGAGAAATGCTCTTTGCAAATGAAACTCTTTTTTTAAAAAGGAATTTAAAGTTTGCAAGATGAAGTAAAATGCCAGAAGAGGTATTATAAAACTAGAGCAAAACAAATAAGAATACATCATTGCAATATCTTTTGAATTTTAACAGACATAGTTCCAACTAATCTCTAATACTGTCTATAAAAGGAATTAGACTAGATTAAGCTGAAAACAATTGTACAGGTCAGTAGAGTGTCATAAGCTCAACTTTAAGCTAAAACACTAAAATTCTTTATACTGAAGTAGCTAAAACTTCAATTTATTTAATTGTCCTCTTAAAACTAAATAAGAGGAAGATGCTTAGCATCATGGAAAGACCGCTAGACCTGGAGTAAAGAAACCTGAGTTGGAGTTCCAACTCTCTCTGTTATTAATATATAACCTTGAGTAAGTCACTTGACTTTTTTGTATCTAACTTTCCTTATCTCCCCTATATCATAAAGAGGTTTTTGATGGTTTCCTTTAGCTCTAACATGATGATTCTGTATAATCCTATGGAAAAATAATTCTTACCTCAGAGTATTCAAATTTTCAAAGTAGCCTCACCTCTAATCTCTGTGTCTGATCCTTTCCTAGAAGGTCACGCACTTCTTCATTATAAATTTCCAAATAAGATACTCGAACCAAAAACCTAAGAAGGGAAAAGAATAAAAAGTTCTGTTAGGACATGTTGAGTTTGAGATTCACATATAGTATCTGGTTCAAAATAACATGTGAAAAAGCTGACTACCTTTTGTTGCCTCTATTTCCTATAAATACTTACTTACTTCTCAGGTCACTGCAAACTGAATTCCCACACCAATGCCAAGCAAAAAGGTTAACTATGATCTCTAAATTGCTAAATCCAACGATCTCAGTCCCTATCCTTTCGACCTCTCTGCAACATCTGACACTGTTGAATACCCCCTCTTCCTGGATATTCTCCCTTTCCTAAATTTTCCTGACTCTGCTCTCTCCTGCCTATCTACTTGTCCAATCCTTTCCTCCAAATCCTTTGTGAAGATATGATCTGTCTTTGTGATTATACCCAAGGGCTCTCTGTTCTAGGACCTCTCCTTTTCTCTCCCTCACAATGATCTCATCAGCTACTAGGGGTCCTGACGCAGGAAGGACTAAAGATTTAGACAAACAACTTCTTGCTGTCAGGATATCATCTATAGGAGGGGCCAATGAGAGGAAGCCCAATCTCCCTTCTTCCCCAGTACCTAAAACCAACCAATTAATGAATAAACACTTTTAAATGCCTAATATATATCAGGTACTAAGCTAAACCCTGGAGATTCAAAGACAAAACTGAAACAGTTCCTGCCCTCAGGAAGTTTACATTCTAATGAAGGAGATGACATGTGTATTTTGTAAGGGAGAGCACTAGCAGCTAGGGAGATGATGAAAGATTTTACGCAGAAGATGGTACTTGAGTTGAGCCTTGATTGAAACCAAGGATTCTAAGAGGTGAAGATAAGGAAGGAGTACATTCCAGGTTAGGAGTACTGTGTGTGGAATAAGTAGACCAATATGGCTAGACTGTAGAGTTTATAGAGAGGGTGTAATACGTACTGGCAAAGGAAGAATAAGCCATGCTGTGAAGAGCTATGAAAGACAGAGCAATTTATATTTGATCCTAAAGATAATTTCACTTTACGAAAATCACGTTAGCAGCTGCAGCTATGTGGAGGATGAACTGGAGTGGAGAGAGACCTAAGGTAAAGAGAACAAATTAGAAGGCTATTGTAATAGTGCCAGTGAGAACTGATGAGCACCTCCACTAGGATAATGGCTACAAGGAAAGAATGGGATATCTGTGAGATATATGATGTCAGATAATCAATAAATATTTATTAAATGCCTATTATACACAAAGCACTGTGCTAAGCACTGAGGACACAAAAAGAAGCAAAATATAAGTCCCTGCCCTCAAGGAGCTCACAATCTAATGGGAGAGACAACAAATAAATATGTACAAACAAGCTATATAGAGGATGAATAGGAAATAATTAAAAGAGGAAAAGCACTAAAATTAAGAGTTTGGGAAAAGCTTCATGTAGAAAGTGGGATTTTAATTAGGACTTAAAGGAAGTCACAGAAACCAAAAGGTGGAGATGAGGAGGAAGAGCCTTCCAAGCATGGGGAACAGCCCATGAGAAAATTACCAGAACTAGGAGATGGAGTATCATGTTCATGGAACAGCCAGGAAGCCAGTGTTACTGGATTGAAGATAACTTGGCAGAGAGCAAGGTATAAGAAGACTGGAAAGTTAGAAAGGGGCTAGGCTATAAAGGGCTTTGAAGCCAAATGCATTGGAAAACTAGAAGTTTGCCTGGAGGCAATAAAGAGCCACTGAAGTTTGGGTGGGGGGAGGTATGTTGATTGGGAGGAGGGGGGTGAGGGAAGGTGTTGTCAGGGGATAAGAACAAGGTTTGGTGATTGACTGGATTTGTGGAGGAAGTAAGAGGAGTTGAAGATAACACTGAGGTTTCAAACCTGGGTGCCTGGAAAGGTAGTGGTGTCCTTCATAATAATATGAAAGTTTGGAAGAGGGATGCGTTTGGAAATGGAAAGAAGGATTGGGCTTTAGGGGTGGAATAGGAAAAGAGAAGAGAACAATAAATTCAATGAGGATATGTTGAGTTTGAGATTCACGTATAACATCTGGTTCAAAATATTCATCAGGACTAGCTGGGAAGTGGTAGAAACAAGATGGCAGAGTAGAGTAGAACTCAGCCAAGCTTTCCCAAATTTCCCTCCAAAAAATTCTAAAATAACATCTCAAATCAAATTATGGAACAGCAGAACCAACAAAAAGTTGAGTGAAACAATTTTCTAGCCCAAGACAACTTATCTGGCAAGAAAGGTTTATCTCACCAGGGAGGTGGTCAAGCTATGGCACAAACCACACCATGGCACCAGCAGCAGGCCTTGGAGGCAGCTGCATTGGCAGTGGCAATTTCAGGAGCTCTCAGCCCATGACCAGTGAACAACTGGTCAGAAGGAGACTGCAAGGAACTCTCTATTGGCACTGGGTTCAGGACCCTGTTGTACTGCCCATATGCAGTTCTGGATCTCAGTCCCAGGGCCAAAAGGAACATTAGCATTTGTGGCCACAGGGGAGCAGGGGCCCTGGTTTGCAGTTCTAGGGTGGAGTGGAGAGCTTGTGGTCACCCGGGGGAGAAAAGATCCTGTCTTAATTCCAAGACAGAGAGGAACACTAGCAATTGCAGCTGCAGGAGAGTGGGGGGACCTAGTCACAGTCCCAGGGCCAGGAGTGCTAGTACTGGTGGCTACAAACGAACAAGGTCCCTTCCTGGATAAAGACAAAAGCACAGGCCTGGAGAGCTAACCAAAGCTCTCCCTAGATCATAATCACTGAAAACCTACAGACTCTCAGAGTGAACTCTAAAAACAGGAGCAAGAAATGCTTGAAGCTTAGGACAGTGCCCCTTCCACCCTAGAAACAGAGCCTAATTTCAACATAAAGTTAAAAGTCAAGAAATAGATTGAATAAACGAGCAAACAACAAAAAAAGAACCAAACTACAACAAGTTACTACAGTGATGGGGAAGAGCAAGATACAAAACCCAGAAGACAATGATGTCAAAGCTGTTCAAGAAAGCCTCAAAGAAAAATGCAAATTGGATACAAATCCAACAAGAATTCCTGAAGAGCTCAAAAAGGATTTTAAAAATCATATAACAGAGGTGGAGGAAAAATTGGGAAATAAATGAGAATGATGCAAGAAAATTATGAAAATATTGTCAACAGCTTGGTAGAAGAGGCACAAAAATACTGAAGAAAATGATACCTTAAAAAACACAACTGGCCAAATGGTAAAAAGAGAAACAAAAATCCATTGAATAGAAGAATTCCTTAAAAAGCAGAATTGAATAAATGGAAAAGGAAGTACAAAAGCTCACTGAGGAAAATAATTCCTTAAAAATTAGAATTGGGCAAGTGGAAGCTAATGATTTCATGAGACATTAAGAAACAATAAAATAAAAGCAAAAGAACGAAAAAATTGAAGAAAAAGTGAACTATCTAACTGGAAAAACAACTGACTTGGAAAACAGATCCAGTAAAGAAAATATAAGGATTACTGGAATACCCTACGGCCATGATCAAAAAAAGAGCGTATTCATCATCTTTCAAGAAATTATCGCCACTACTAGGTCTATATCCCAAAAGAGATAAAAAACAAAAAAGAAAAAGGACCTATATGTACAAAACATTTATAGCAGCTCTTTTCTGGCGACAAAGAATTACAAATTGAGGGAATGCCCATCAATTGGGGAACAGTTGAACAAGTTATGTATGTGATTATGATGGAATACTATTGTGCTATAAGAAATGATGAGCAGGATGCTCTCAGAAAAACCTGGAAAGACTTGTATGGGCTAATACAAAGTGAAATGTACTGTGTACACAGCATGTCTACTATGGAAGTGTTTTGCATAACTGCACACGTATAGCCTATATTGAGTTGCTTGCCTTTTCAATGAGGGTGGGTGAGAAAGAGGGAGGGAGAAAATTTGGAACCCAAAGTTTAAAAAACACATGTTTTAAAAAAAAATGTTTTCACATGCAACTGGGAAATAAGAAATACAGGAAATGGGATACAGAAATCTATCCTGCTCTACAGGAAAATAGAAGGGGAAGGGGGGAAGAGATAGCAGGGAAAGCAGACTAGGGGAAAGGGTATTCAGAATGCACGCCATCTTGGGGGGGAGGGGCGATATGGGGTGAAAATTTGGAACTCAAAATCTTGTGGAAGTAAATGTTGAAAACTAAAAATAAAAAAAATAAATACTGTAGAAAAAAAATGTACTGTGTACAAAGTAACAGCAATACTGTAAAATGATCAGCTGTGCATGACTTAGCTATTCTCAGCAATACAATGATCCAAGACAATTCTGAAGGACTTAGGATGAAAAATGCTATACATTCCCAGAGAAAGAATTGATGGTGACTGAATACAAATTGAAGCATACTTTTTAAAAAATTAATTAATTAATTTTGCTAGGCAATGAGGTGACTTGCCCAGGGTCACACAGCTAGTAAGTGTCAGGTGTCTGAGGCCAGATTTGAACTCAGGTCCTCCTGACTCCAGGGCTAGTGGTCTATCCACTGCACCACCTAGCTGCCCCACTTTTTTTTTATTTTCTTCATTTTTCTTGAGTTTTTTTTTGTCTATATTTTCTTTCACAACATGACTATTATGATTTACATGACTACACATGACTACACTAAAAAAAAGAAATTATCATAGAAAACTGCCTTGATATCCTAGAACGAGAAGGCAAAATAGAAATTGAAAGAATCCACTGATCACCTCCTAAAAGAGATCTCAAAACGTAAACTCCCTGGAACATTACAGACAAATTCCAGAGCTCCCAGGCCAAGGAGAAAATACGGCAGGGAGCCAGAAAGAAATAATTCAAACATAGTGGAGCCATGGTCAGGATCACACAAGATTTAGCAGCTTCCACATTAAAGAGGGCTTGGAATATGAAATTCCAGAGGGCAAAAGAGCTAGGATTACAACCAAGAATCACTTATTCAGCAAAATTGAGGATAATCTTTCAGGAAAAAAAAATGTATGTTTAATGAAATAGAGGACTTTCAAGCATTCCTGATGAA